GGGACGTAGGGGTTGGTGGCGGGGTGGTAGTTGTGACGATGATAGTGGTGGGATAGTGGTCGGGTGGCTGGGGCATGAGAGTGGGTGGGTATGACGACAACAATAGTGGTATGGTGCTTAGTGGTGGGTTGTGGTGGCTTGGGGTAGGGTGGGATGCAGGTGAGTGGCGGTTGTGAAGTCTACAATAGTGGTGCAGGGGTGGGGGGTTAGGATAGGGGGCGCGACGATGGGTTCCATGGCGTTTGGAGATGGCAAATGGGTTTCCAGTGAAGATGGAGGTTTTTAAGACGGAGGTCACAGTCAAGAAGAGGGCGAGAGAGGAAATTAGAGAGAGAGAGAGAGAGAGAGAGAAACCAATGGTGGATGGTGAAGGAGATAGTCAAAGTAGGCGGAATCGACGCTCAATGAAGGTCTTGGATTTTAGGGTTTCTCAGTATGTATATATACACATGTATGTATAATGACAGATATGTTTTAATTTTTATTCAAAAGTAAGGAAACAATAAAAAGACCAAAATATCCCTAGAGTTTATAATAATTAAATTGGTTTTAATAATTAAATTGGTTTTAATCTGTAAGTTTTAGCAGTTTTGGTTTTCAGTTGTATGAGTTTCATTTTCCATACTATCTCATCTCAGTATATCTTTTATTCTAATATATTTTTAAGAGCAGATTGCTTAGATTTGTAACATACTTTGTTTCAAAACCTATGTTTTGAAAAACAATTATGTATTTGGACAATTAAAATAACGTACTGTATTTTTTGTATACAGTAAATGGAAACATATTATAACTTTATAAATAAAAATTCATTCTAAGAAGAAGAAAATTTAACTTTTTGTTTGAGGTATTTTTATTACTTATGTCGTAAAATAAATATTCATAATGAAAAAGACATACATTTTTAGAAATTTGTAACAGTTGCATTTTTAATTAACAAAAAGACAATTGTACCCTTAATTACAGAGAGATAAATTTTTCCATCTTATAATTAAAGGTAAAATAGGAAAGTAGATGTCTACTTTTGAAAGTGGATACTTATTATATAAGACAAACTAAAATAGTAATGTGTCCACTTAATTTGGGACGGATGGAGTATTATTAGGGTTATTAAGAAAAATAGTCATTTCGACAGACCAAATTTATCTTTTAACCATTCATTTTCCACTTTTTCAATAAATATCAACACATCCACAAGTCCCTAAGACGTAACTTGAGGAGGGGGCATATCACTTGTGAGGGGGCGAGCAGGGACGGTCCTAAGATTTTTGATGTTTTGTGCGAAAATAATAAAAAATGCCCCTAGGCCTATTTTTTTAAGCCAATTAAACAACGAAACATGTGATTTTTTTAAGAGTTTAAAACATATTCAAGCTAAGTGTCTCATCCCCTTGTTAATTTTTATTAATTATAATAAAAAAAATACAATGAGGGAGCATAAAAACCAAAACCTCGAATATAAAATGTAGAATGATAAAAGAAAAATCTTGGATTAAGATCATGCTTCCTTCTTTTCCAGTTTTCCTTTTTCCAAATTAAAATTAGCAAAATTGAAACTTTATTGGACTTAAAAACAAGGAAAACCGTAATTAGTTTTCAACTAAAATAGTAAATTATATTTAAATTATTGTCATAGTAATCAAAAAGTAAAACTCAAAAGTTACAGGTTTAAGGCTAAGAGCCTATCTGTTAACAACTTATTCGTTCAACTATGCATGACTGTTTCATAGTGGCTTAATGATATAGAGAGTGACTTATCCAGTAAACTTTTTAGGGAGAGCTTTATATAGAAAGTCAAGCTTTTTTTTTTTCCCAAACATGTCCATTCCAACTAAAAAAACGCTTCTTACATCTGCGAAAAAACTCTCTCAAACAAAAACTTTTACAACTTTCCAACAATGTGCATTCAGTATTCATCACTACTAGGCCTTTGACCTATTTTTACAGTTAAAACTCAGTTGTCCAATTTCCAAATTATTAAACCCAAAACTAGTAATAAATGTCAACTTGATGTCCTTTTAGGCTTTGATACCCTGTGAGACCGCACGGGCTGCACGTGGCCAGGGTCGGCCCTGGGGGCGAGAAACCCAATACTTGCGGAGGTGCCATCCTCAAGACTTGTGAATGTGCTACACATGAAGTGCTTCTTGCGGAGGTGCTACTCATGAAGAGCTTCTTGGTACATGTTTACAAGGCTACGTCATCCTTGGAGCATAAAAAGCCGTTTTTTCTATAAGAACACCGCCCCACAAGTGTTAAACGCAAGTTACGTCTCAAATGCTTACAAAGACGTTCATTTTCTTGAAAAAATAATAAGAAGAATGACCAACAGATAAATTTGATCAGTTAAAATGATTACTTTTGTTAATATCCAATATTATTATTACATCAAATATTGATGTAATAAATAAAATATTTGCTAGAAAGATTCTCCTTTATTAAGCTTTCAATTTCATTGGTTGCTTTATGCTTTGTTATTTATATATCTTTAAGTGATTCCAAATTAGTGAGCAAATTGATGGACCCACATGCGGTCATCTAACATCCCTTCCACTCAAAATTATTTTACTTCCATTTGTGTTTACTATGTATACTATGTAGAAAGATACATCTTGATTTTAATGTTTCGTTTTATTTATATTTGTCTAAGTCAATATAATAATACAGTTTTATATGGTTTTGAGAAAGCGGTAATGTTTTTATTTTTAAATAAAATATAAATATGAATATATTATAAAAAATTAAAAAAAAATATTGATATTAGTACAAAACTAACTATTTAAAATTTCTTTTTTTATATTTCTTTAATTTCTTTTTTTATTTTGGTTTGATAATATATTTTTTATAAAAATAATAATTAAGTATTTTGTTAGAACTCGATAATTATACTAATTATATTTTAGATTTTTTTAATTTAAAATGAGATGTTTATTCTCTATTTGATTATTTTTATCTGTAGTTAGTTACACGAATTCAAACATGAAGCTTTAATAAGTTGTACTTACGCATAATTTACTTGTGATCTTGAATTTTAAGTAATATACATCAATAAACAATACATCATGCATAAAAAATGGTTTCTAAGAGGTTTGTCAAATGCTTTATAATATACTATAGATAAAATAAATTTTTACTTTTGTATTCGACCTTTAATTATAATATAAAAAAATCTATTTTAAAGATATACCCATTAAACTGTGAAGAGTGCTTCGAGATATTAGAAAATACAATAAACATCAACTAAAAAAAAGTCTCTAAATCAACTAAAAATTCGAAAAAAAAAATTTAAAATAAAAAAAAATCCTTCGAAATGGTGAATTCCAGAGCCAAGATGTAGAATTAATGGGAACACTTAGCATAAAGAATTAAAAAAATATTAAAAATAAATATTAATTTTCTAAAAGTGGAAAACACAATAAAAGTATATTAATGAAATCATATAGAGTTAAATACAAATTTGGTTATCGTGGTTTACATAAATTAACGAGTAAGGTCCCTGAAAAGAATTATTAATGAATGATGTCCCTATAGTTTTAACTTTAATAACGGATAGGGACGCCCTTCGTTCGAGGACTTTACTCGTAAATACATATAAACTACAGGGACCAAATTTGTATTTAACTCAAATTATATATTAAAAAATATATATTATAAACTACTCAAGTAAGAATCGGTCCAAATAAGAAAACTAAATATCATGAGAATGTAAGAATAAATTATTAATGAAAGATATATAGTTAAAAAAATGTCAATAAAAACCTTCTAAAAACATGTCAAATGACTTTGTGGGACGCTGATCTACCTTAAATATGTATCTGTTAGAAAAAAAAATATTGAATCTGTTACTAAAAATAAATACTTCGTTACTTCAGTTATTTATATCTTAAAAAAATTAATGAGCACAAAGATTAATGATACTAATAAGTGGTCTCATTGAATATTTGTTTTATGCATCTTGTGCAAAATATATATATATATATATATATCATTCTTTTTAAAGTAAAAAGCAAAAGGTCCCGTAGCTCAGTTGGTTAGAGCGTTGGTCTTATGAGCCGAAGGTCGCGGGTTCGAGCCCCGCCGGGACCATTTAGTTTTTCCAATTTGTGATGAAGTACGAGGCTGTTTTTTGTGCCGATGGATACGACGTCGTCTGATTCAAGAAAACGGTTGAGGTTTCACTTTCTGTTGTAGGTTTGAATACTCAATTAAGGGGGTTTGAAGATCAAACCCTTCCATCTGTAATCTTGTTGGTGCGTCAGCTTCTGAGGGTTCTTCTCACCTAAACAAACCCCATTTCATCTCTGTCAATTTTATTCAACAAAATGGCCATAGCCATGGCCCACGAAACTTGGATTCTTTTCGTCCTACTTCTACAATTACCCTTTATGCACATCTCCTGTTTTCATACCCTCTTCTGTTTCACCACTCAGATTCTGGTACGCCAAACTCTCTTTGTGTTTTTATCTGTGTGTTTATTTATAAGTTGGGTTCAATCGTGTCTTCATGATGATGATGATCTTTGTTGATTGCTTCAATTAGTATCTTCTTGATGATAATGATCTTTGTCGATTGCTTCAATGGCGTCTTCAGTGATGATGATCTGTGTTGATTGCTTTGAATTGTGTGTTATTTCTTATTTAATGGATGCTCAATTTCTTCTTCCCCTGTTCAACAATCAGATTCTGGTACCCAAAACCCTCTTCGTATTAAACCCTAATTTGAATTATCGCTAACGATATGTCTAGGATTGTTTTCACGAATTGGTTCTAATGGTGTAAATAGCTTCTTGTTTGATGTCGGTTTGATTTCTAGATTCTTGCATATGATTGAATCATTGAAGTTTTTGTTGGGAATTTGGGTTTCTGGTTGTATAAAGCTAGGATGGATTTCTGGTTGTGAAGTGTGAGATTTTGATCACAGATTTGTTTAATTAATTTCCCTTTTCTGATGTAATCTATTTTGGGACAATCTTGATTGAAGAACTTGGAAGAAGGTATCAAATGGGTGTTTGTGGGTGGTTCAAGAAGTTAGTCGCCATTAAAAGCAAGAAGGAAAGCAGACCCAAAAAAAAGGAGGTAATGCCATCTTGCCCCTTTCCGAAATCGATCATCTTTCTGTACGTGAAATTGGTATCGGGATTCTTGATCGCAGGTGCAACAGGATTCCAAGATTGCAAATGGACTTAAGGTTCGGGATAATTCTGGGATAGAATCAAGTTTTCGTGCTGGTAGTACCAAAGTTATTGGTCGAAGCACTGGAAAGGAATTTGCTGCCACTCGAATCCAAACTGCGTATCGTTCTTACAGGGTATTAGTTATCGTACAATTTGATACATTTTTCGGGTACATTGTGGTTTTTGTTTTCTGAATTGGATTTCGGGCAGGCAAGAAAAATGTTACGTTGTTTGAAAGGGACGTCAAGATTTCAGGCATTGGTCGAGGCAGATGCTCTTACGAAGCAAGCTTCTTCTGCTCTTGACAAAATACATTTTTGGAGCAGAATACAAACGGAAATCAAAAGCCGACGCTACTGGATGGCGGCAGAGAGCCGGATAAAGCAAAAGAAGCTTGAAAATCGAGTGCAAGTCGAGTCTAAACTTCATGAACTCGAGGTACGAAAGTTTGCATTTTGAAGAATGGATGCCATTTTGTGGGATCCAACACAATTTACACAAAACATCGGTCTGAAAACTCATATTCTCTGCCAACAGGTGGAATGGTCTGGCGGACCTGAGACGATGGAAGAGATTGTGTCCAAGATACAACACCGTGAGGAAGCCACAAACAAGCGTGAGCGTGCAATGGCCTACGCCTTTTATCACCAAGTACGTCACTAACAAATACTTGTTGTCCTACATTTGGTGTGACATTTAGCAAACTGGGACAGGACGGGACTAGGACTTGGACGAAAATGCATTTTTTTGTCCCATCAAAACAGATGGAATAAAAACAGGGAGATGAGACAAGATTGGTAAATTACTAAATTGTCATGTCCAAATTAAAACTTTACACAATTCTTTCACCCACCTCGTTCTTACGGTCCGGTCCGGTCCGGTCCGGTCCTGTCCGGTCGTTGGGTACAAACGCACCTAGAAATGCTCGAAAATGACATTTTTGGATGATTTTATAAAGTGGAGGGCGAACCCAAATCGATATTTTGGTCAAGCTTACTATGATCTAAGCAAAGAGAGCTGGGGATGGAGCTGGAAGGAGCGGTGGATCGCGGTGTGCCCATGGGAGGCTCGGGTGGTTGCACGGCCGGTCGGCAAACAGAACAAGGCGTCTAGAACCACAAAGCATGGTGCACCAAAGATTGTGGTTGCAGTGAAAACGCCGATGGCAAACGGCAAGGGTACAGTTAAAGCAACATATTGAAATGTCGAGAACATATGGGAGAGAGTTCAAACGAGAACTATAAATATTTTAGTAACCTACGAACCAACTGTTTGATGCATCATTCATGATGAATAACTCTCAATAATCATGAATATCATTCATATTCATCATGAATATGATGATATCTATAACAATATTCATTATGAATAAAACATGAATGGTTGGTTTTTATGTTTTTGAAAATATTTACGATTTTTTTGAACGGATAACTTGACAAGTTTTTTGTGGGGAGTGGGAGTGGGAGTGGGAGTGGTTTGTAATTGATTTGTACAATATAATGGCTGTATGATATCCCTTTCAGTGGGGTGTGCTTATTAACATATAGCATATACTATTTAATGAAGTTGGATTATATTTTAATGGAGCTTAATGGGAGTATTTTGTTCCAATGAGTTGTCTTCATCAACCATAAAGAAGTACCAGCAACAGCAACCATGTCCTTATCCCTAAACACATCATCTTTGTATTATTATTATTAAAATAATAAAATTGAATTAATTTATATTGACAGAGAGATTTGCAGGGGCAGAGGGACCATAGACAAAGGCAAAGGTACAAAATTATGGTTTTTTGTTTTTTTCAGCTTCCAATATTCATTATGAATATGAGAGAGATAAACAGTTAGGAATCAAAGCTTTCATGTCCTATCCATTTATTGGCAGGCTTCCTTTTTACAGCAAAGGCAATCTTCAATGAATGTACTGCTACTCATAATTTACATATCATATATATATATATATATATATATATATATATATATATATAATAAATCATTAAACTTTGAATATGACAGCCCAAAATCTTATTTCACTCCTTATCGAAAAATAAGAGATGGTGTTCAAGTCTGAACTCTAGTCTTATTCAATTCAGACTTTTTGTCTAGTTGCATGGGTAATCTAGTTCTAAAACAACATCAAGAAAGATGGGGGAGGTTTCATGATTTTAATGTGCCCTCAAAACCATGCCAAATGAGAATTATCCGAATCGGAGTACCATAGGCACATGGGACAATCAAGATCGAAATTTTGTGAAAAAGAAAACACAATCATTCGTGAAACAGCAATCAGAAGCGATGATAGGACTTCTTACCCGATACTGTTCCCGGATACCCAAGCGATGATAAGACTTCTTACCCGATATTGTTCCCGGATACCCAAGCAGTGATGGAGATGTGAACGATGAGAATAGACTCGTGCTATTGTTCGTTCTTCATCGCATTCTTTTTGCAGGTTTTCGCCATTGCCATCAGCAACAGTTTTCAATAAGATCTCATTGTTTCTGTTTCTGTTTCTGTTTCCAATCCACATGACAAAATTGACCAGTTTTATGAACAAAGGGAAACATTCCCATTTCCTGATTTCATTCCCTTAAAACAATCGAAATCGGTTGATTTCGAGTAAAAAGAAGTATACTAATATTGGATTAGGGAATCATCAAGATTCTATTTTTCCAAGTTTAGTGAAGAACCAAAGTGGAATTAGTTGCTAAATTTAAGGAAACAGAAGTAATTGGGGCATTGAATTTATAGTCTTGAAACAGAAAACACAAAAAGGAAATCCAAACAGAGTCTAGAGCTAAACAGATAGCTCAATTCAAACATGAAAACTGATTCTTGAAATAAAATAAACTGTGATAGAAAAACCTGAATCAAACTCAGATTTGTTCTTCTCACTGTGTAAAGAAGCCATTGGATTCAACAAATTGATACCTTTCTGGGTGCCTCTCGTTCAAGCTGTAAACTTGTTCCTGTAATCGTTATTCAAAATTTATGGAAGTTGTTAGATTCGTATGAAGAAGAAGATGAACATGAAATTTAATCAAATTGGGAACTGGGTTTGGAGTTTTTTCATTACCTTTTGGAGAAAGGATTATCAAGAATGGAGATTGAATCAATCGCGAGAATCGGAGGAAACAGAGGACGGCTTATCGGAGATGCCATCGTGTTCCTCTTCTTCACCTTGGATTCGTGCCGGAATATGGAACCCGGGAAACGTGCCGGAGGTAAATCCAGGCATGGAAGACGGGTGATGAAAAGCTGGTGTTTGATGTTGATCGGCGCCGGAAAACGGCGGCGGGTCGACCCAGGCACGAACCGGAGGTGAGTTGCTGGACTGAAGGGGTCCCCTCTGAGAAATGTAATTAAACAACTGATTGTTTGTTGTTTGGCCAAACAACGGTTGCAGAAACACCGGCGTCTGTGCAGCCGGCGGTGAACTGAAAACAAATCCGGTGGAAACAGCGTCTCCACCGCCACCGCCACCGCCCCAAGCCACCAATCGTTGGAACCCACCAGGCTGGTTTTCCGGCCAACCCGACCCGTCAAAAAACATGCTGTTATTATTACCTTGTTCAGCTGCTTGTTGTTGTTGGTGGTGGTGGTGGTGGTGGTGCGGTGGTGGTTGATGGTGGTGAAGAATTGGATCTTGAAATGATTGAAGAGAAAGTTTCAGATCTTGATTCTGATTACTAGTGGGTCTTGAAAGCAGCTCCGACGTTGGAAAGCTCCGGTGAAATTGCATAGCTGAAGGATTAATATTGACCGGCGTTGATGAACCGCCACCACCCATCGGAAAAAAAGACTTGATTGTATTAGCTATGGAGTTTGAATCAAGAGATGTTGGCAAAAAGGTCGAGTTTTGAGTGTTAACCATATGATTATCAACAATATCATCATCTGGGTGTTCCTCCAAATGACTTAATTGATGATGATTTAGGTTTTCATCATCTGGGTTTTGCTCAAAATTCACAATTGTGGTTGAACCGTGATTTATGGTGGCGGCGGTGGGTTTCCAGGCGGGAAGCTCGGCGAGCTCATCAATGGCGGATTTAGCTTTTTTAATAAGCCAATCGACAGCTTTGCTAGGACGGTCGTAGCCAAGGCGGTCTTGTACGTCGTAAAATTGGATGGCGGTGTGAGCTGAGAGGCGGACACGGCGGTCTCTTGGTCCCTTCGCCGTGCAAACCTTACTGTGTCGATCTTTCCGGCCAGTGGACCGTACAATGTGACCTCCCTGAACTTCCACAATCTCTCCACCGCCGCCGGTGTTCCTCAACCCCAATCTCGACGGCCTAGTTGGTTTCTGCTCCGGATGATGGTGGAGTTCGTGGTGGTGGTACTGATAATTTTCTGCCATTTTTTCCGGCAAATTGGGGGCATATTCTTCTTCTTCTTCTCCGGTATCGTTAGAAGAAAGCAAATAAGAGCGTTTATTCGGTGGCCTCGGCGGCTGAACACCTAATCCGCCGTGAAAAAGTCGGTGTTGGGGAGATGGGATCTCTTGATTCTGGTGAAACTGTCGATGATTTTGATGGAATCCATGGAAATCAATCTGGTCGTCTTCTTCTTCTTCTTCTTCTTCTTCTTCTTCGTCTTCTTCCCCTACATTCAACAGTTCTTGACTCCGATAAAAATGGCGATAATTCCTCTGAGAATCCAGCGTCAAACAACGAATCAGTTGCTGCTCCAGCTTCTTAAAGATCACAACCCCAAATCACAACAAAAATGAATAATCTTGAATCTTGATTTGTGGCAAATTTCTGAAAGAACCCTGATACTGCCACTGCCTATCCCAAAAGGAGCTGCTGCCACACAAATACAACTCATACCCAGAAGCCATTAGAGAAGAAAGAAATCAAAAAACCCTAAAGGAGTAGAGCTCCATAAACCTAAAATTGTAGGCTACCCCATGTCTGATTTCTGTAAACTGTATGTAGAAGTAGAACAGGCTTTTTGAATCATAGACTACCTGTAAATGTGTAGTACAAGTTTACAGAAGAGCCCCCAAAATGGAAGAGAGGGAGGGTGGTTTGTTGTGGTGAACAGTAAAAAAGGGATATTTGGAGAGGAAAGGAGGCCATATTATTAATTTGGGGGCCTACCAGAACACATAAACCCTTTTGGTTTTTGGATGCCAGTCCCTGCTAATTTAATCACTTTCTTTTTAACATAATCCTTTTATTTAATACAACATATTTGGGGTTTCTTTGCTAATTTTAGTAAATATATATTTACTTTTTTTACTTAATCTATACTACATATATAAGCATTTAAGACAAAGTCTTAATTACAACTCTTGAAGCCTAAAGTACTACCATTTTATGCAACAATTTCAAAAATCTCTTAATTACAAATTCTTATGCATAATGTACAAGCTTTTTATGCATCTGCATTCCAAAGACCAAAAATTACCTATGTTGGGCCGGTTTCTTCTTTAGGTTTCTTCCTCTTCTATCTCGACCAAAACTTTTCTTCTCTTCTGTATCATTTCTTTGCACCAGCAACATTTTGGGTTAGAAAGCAGAGGTCTTTCTTCTTCACAGACCTCGTTTGGCGTAACAATGGTGTTCTGGATGTATCATCTCGATCAGAGAACCGATTTCATGTATCAAAGGGATTTGCTCTCCTCTCCTCAGGCGACTTATAAATATCAGTCACTCTCTTCACACACGCTCCCATCGCCTCCCTCTTCAAAKCGACGATTCACAATTGATTTTCCAAGATGTTCGATTCAGGCTCTCGGTAYGATTCACAATTGATTTCTGAATATGGTGAGTTCTAATCTTTCCCTCTTTAAATGTTCCAATTCTTACTTTAATTGTGATTAGGGTTTTGTTCAAATCATGTGAGATCCAAGGATCGGTTCTTTCATCAATGTTTGTTTGAAACTTCATTTGTTTAGCTCCCTGTTTGTTTATCCTGGT